GAAGTTCAGGAGGAACCTTCGCTCCGTTGCGGAGGAGCGCGTTGGAAGGAAATGTGGCGGCTTGCGTGTGCTCAACTCCTACTGGATCAATCAGGTGATGTAGCAATTATCGGGAAAGGCATTACCAGCAAAAACTATCAGAGGAAGTCAAAGATCGATCTCTCTTGTCATTTGTATCTATCTATGGAAAGAGATTTCTCTATCTATGGAAATAAATTTCTCTATCTATGGAAAGAGATTTCTCTTATGTATGGAGAGAGATTTCTTTATCTGTGGAAAAAATTCTCTATTGTATCTATCTGTATGGGAAGATAGATCACTTGTCATTTATCAATCTGCAACACCGTGGCAACTGTCTTGTCTTGTCCACATTTGTGCCGATATCGAGTGATTTTTATTACGATATATATTTTAGAATCTGTCGAACGTCCTCAGGACGTCCTGGGGCGTGTTATTATATTTTATAATAATCTCTCTAATGTTCTCTGGACGTCGTAGAACGTTTTTTGTGCCTTCTTTTGACACTATCGTGAAACGTGAGGGTGACGACTGCTGGTAGTGTTCTCTTGTAAATCGTAATCTGATTTACAGAGTTAGGGTTTGGCTGGGGCATTAAGTAGCTGCGATGGTTTTCAGTGAATGTAGCGGAGTGTTTTTTGATTAACGGGAATCACTACAATGGAATTGTGTACATCTTTTGCCTGTATGTTAAGTCCTATTCAACGTTTGACCTCGACTTTCCTGGCCTCGATTTCGTTGTTTTTTTGAAGCGAAATGATCAGGTCCTGCTGACGGCAACCAGGTCATCCCTGCCACTGCCTGACGATTTCAGTTCAGGAAACGTTGAAATTGTGGCCAGGTGCGTCGAAGCTGCATGCCCGAAGTGATATTTCGTACTACCGTCTTCACTGGAATAGAATGCCTAGTCATTGTAGCTGTATTTGGGCTATCTTTTGGTCGAGATACAGCGATAATGATCCGGACCGTTTCCTATAGGCGAAGACGGTTGTCAGTGCGTTATGCAATTTGCTTACCGTGTGAATATGTGCATACGAAATCTTGTTCTCTGTGTGACCGTATTTTGAACCTGGAATCAATGTGACCGTATTTTGAACCTAGAATAAATGTGACCGTATTTTGAACTTGGATTCAATGTGACCTTATTTTGAGCCTGGAATCAATGTCACGACGTAACCGAGTGTTGTGCCTCTCCCTCTTCGGACGCTTGTCCTGTTCGTCGCTTTCGGGTCGTTAATAATGAAGAAGCGGTGTTGACGGTTGTGCTGCTCTCGTGTACCTGCAGGACTCGACATACAAGTACTTCGAGGTGATCTTGGTGGATCCCTTCCACAAGGTCATTCGTAACGACCCGCGTATCAACTGGATATGCAAGCCGGTAATGAAGCATCGTGAGTTGAGGGGTTTGACAGCGGCWGGGAGGAAACACAGAGGCCTTCACGGCAAGGGTCACCGTTTCCACAAGAACCGGCCGTCTGTTCGTGCCACGTGGAAGAAGAACAACACTCTCTCTCTCAAGCGGTACCGTTAAGGAGAGAGAAATCCTTAACGGTGTACTCACGCGCCGGMGGCGGGCTCTTCTTGGGCGTATGGGATTCTGTCATCGGTGGAGAAAACGTTGCCCTGTTTTTTTTACGGTCATCCGGCGTTCTTGGACAGCCGTTCTCTTCCTCTTGGCAGTTGTTGGTTGCGTACTCTTCTTGAATTCAAAAGGGGCAGTCGTTGGAAAAGCCCTTCGCTTCGTCTTCTTCCACTCAGTCGAGATATGTCGTATGCCAATCATTGGYTATGGGACAGACGTTATCTACTCGTCGTCGCATCCGCTTTTGWTCTCAAATTTATCAACATGATGGACTCTTTGCTTTGAAGATGGGCGGGCGTGTGAATGAGCTTATACGAGCGAATCCACCAGTGAGTCATGTGTATGATGGACTGGAGTATTAGGGTTTCCTTTCTACTCTCGCTTGTCRTGCAGATATGGCACAGTGACATGGCATGGAAATGACCGAATGTCGAGAGGAGTAGAGCGGCTCAGCTCAATTCACTCTTGTTTTTCCTTGAGAGGGAGGAGGGGCAGTCGCAGAGGTGGCTTTTCGGAAGAGAGAATATAGGACCATCGGGATCTGGACCTGTTTGACGGAAACATTCAGTTACCTGTCTGATACGTGTTTTAAAAAAAGGTCTTCTTCGGGATTTCTTTGAGGAATATTCTTGTCTCTATCGCGTGAGTGAAGGGGATTTATCTTGTGACTTGTTTTGCTTATTATGGTTTTGATGGTACGGCAGTTAGCATCTTGGTCTCACCATACCTTTCCAGTCCATCTGGCCTGCCACGTGTCCGTCCCACCACCGTCCACCGATTTTGTCCCTGTCCATCTGTCCTTGTGGGCGTTTGTTCAGCCGTCTCTCCATTCATCCCTTAAAAATCGCGCAGACTGTTCATCCCTCTTATCCCTTCCTTGTTTACCCTTCCATCCATTCTTTTTGTACTCTTGCCTGCCCCCTTACATATCCGTCCAAATCCATCCGTTCCATGTATGCCATATCTCACATCCCGGGTCATCTTTCCTTTCTTATCCCTTCTTTGTTTATCCTTCCATCCATCGTTTTTGTACTCTTGCCTGCCCTCTTACATTTCTATTCAAATCCATCCGTTCCATGTATGCCGTGTCTCACATTCCGGGTCATCTTTCCGTGCGTCCTTCTCTCCGTACGCTCACTCCAGCAGTGGGTGGGCAAGTGGTTTAGTGCGGAATACCCTAACGTGGTGGAAAGGGGGGAAGCATAATAGCCATGTGGGGATTTCGAACCCTTCTCCATCACTTGTCTGGCTATGCATCCCTCGGTCCACTGTTTGACTTGGTCGTTCAGGCTGCCCGCTCATCTGTCCATCCAGCAAATCATCGGCAGCCAGTCGTCCGTCCTTTCATCAGCCCACCCGCCCATCCACCTTCTCATGTGTCTGTCCATCGCTCCAGCTTGTCTGGTTGTGTGGCTCTGCGTGGATGTTATCAATTGTATTTTGTTTGTGTAGTTGAGCTAGCAGGGTGGAGATTACTCACACGCACACCGAGCCCTTTGGTCATAGACTGAAATAGGCCCGTTTCAGGGTGTACAGACTGAAATAGGCCTGTTGGTGAAAAAAGTCTATATCGTAGAACGGAGGAATCGAGACTTTTGGCCGAGTGTCATCTTCAAATTCCCAGAAGAATCGGTGGATAAAAGAAAGAAACAAAGAGTCAAAATCAAACATGATATTACAGTAAATATCATTTCAGGTAACTCCTTTACCCCCCCCCTCCCCCCCTCCCCGGCACCCTCTTCGGCCCCCTCTTTCTTCTTGTAAAGGGCTGTCTATAATGGCTAGAGACCCCGTTTAACCCTCAAACAGGTCATCTAAGAAATACGCTTGGACTTTTGCTGTATTGGACAATGTGTATTTTCATGGAAAAGTTGTGTATTTTTGCATGGAAAAGTTTTTTGTATTTTAGCTAGTTTGTTTCTGTGGTTTGTAAACCCGAATTGGCAAGGCTCCAGAAATCCGGTTTTAGGGATGTCCTTCCATCTTCACCTAAAAATAACGCCGTGTCATAGTAGCTGTATTTGGGGCATCATTTTAAGTCCAAGCTTTACAGACCCATGAAGCTGGTCCTAATTTGATAAGGTGTTATCGTGGTTAACTTGTTGAGTCTATTTCCACCAGAAACACTTTTATTTATTGAAGAGGAGGTTCTTTTAGCGCATGTCCTTCAGCTCATGGAAAGATGAATGGGCAAAAAATTAAGTGCGCATGGAAAGACGAATGGGCTAAAAACAAGTGCTCATGGAAAGATGAATGGGCTAAAAAAGAGTGCTCAAAATGTAGTGTAACGTGCTCATAAAAAGTGGAAGAGAAGGAAGGAATCAGATGCAGTGCCTAGAGATATATGCGCTGGCCGTAGGAAAAAAAAGAGCAGCAGTCGTAAAGTTTAAGCCACCAATCTCTCAGAGCCTCTTTCCCCCTGTGGATTACTGCTGGCTGGAGCGCCACCTGTCAATTTCAGCACGATGCCCATGCATAATATTTTTCGTTATGTACGGCGGCGCTGATATCGATCTCCGTCTGGAAGCTGGAGCGCCACCTGTCAATTTCAACACGGTGTCCGATAGTTCTGAAAGTCTGAGAGTCTAGGCCACCAGAGTGGTCCGGGTCCACTTGTCCGGCCGGGCCAAAAAGAAATAAAAAATAAGAAAAAAAATATTTTAAATTTGGTAAAGAATTTTAATGTGACCCTGAGGCAAAAGTTGTTCAGTTTATTTTTCTGCATAACATAGTGTTTTTTCGGAGTTGTGGAGTTATTTTTTTTTAGTTTTGGCTGGGACCTTCCCTAGTCCTTGCACGGCCCGGCCGCCCGGGGAAATAGGGTGACCCGGGCGGCCCGTCTGGTAGCCTAGCTGAGAGCCCTTTTCCACACGTTGGCTTGACAGCCGCTTGGCAGCGAAAGAGTTGGGAAAGGGATGTCGAGAGGCAGACCCGCTGATCTCTTTTAACGACGGGTTTTCTTTTTAGTCCTTGCACCCATTTTCCTTATATCGGTCGGATTTAACACGGGGCTTCACTTTTTGAAGTAACTGCGTGAAGTCTAGTTTCTGATACAAAATCCGTAATCAATGACAACCTAATTGAATAGCTGTGGACTTGTAGAGCGTCTCGTTTCTTTGCATAATTGATTGTACAAATGAGCAGCAGTTCGTACGGTGACCCTAACGGTCGCCCCCAAAATGAAAAAAGTCATCACTCCCAAGTCTACCCATCTCACTCCGAAGGCTGCCACCTTACACGATCCGTGAGCTGCCCAACTGGCGTTTCCTCGTTGCACTGCTGATTGGTGTATGGGGTTGCGTACTCCGTTGTTGGAAGACATTTGGCACTGCAGGTGGGTGATATATTAATTAATGTACTCTGCACTCGTGTGAATGCTGATATTAATCAATGTGCTCTGCACTTGTGTGAATGCTGAGATTAATTAGTGTGCTGCAGTTGTGTGAATAGTGCCTTGTTGGTTGGTTCTCGATTCTCTTACTGATGGTGTTTGAGAGAATCTGTAGCTCTACAATTTCGGTGTCTTTGGTTTGACGTGATCTTGGTAGACTTTGACAAATAGTGTGATTTCACCTTTTTGGGGTGATTCGTGGTGCGCGGGTCGATCAGACGTCTCTTCTGACAGATGGTAGATACAAGATGATCTCCATCTCCCACTCGAGATATCTTGTGCCCACTCAAAATATCTTGTGACATGCGTAAATTGTACAGGTCTTTGTGCTGTGTGACACGCGTAAATTGTGTCGGGATCGTGTGACATTTACCGTTGATTGACGTCTCAAACTACACTCCACGGTGGGCTTTTTTGGACAAGAGTGCTGACTGCCTTCGCGTCTGTGTCCTTTGCTGTACTACGCTACACGGTGCCTTGTTTCCAGATGAAAACACAATTTACGTAATAAAAGCGTCAGCATGCGTTACGTAGAAGAGTCCTTTGAAGCCTGCATTTATTGCATCTTGAGAATTCTTGCGTGTGATCTGGTGGTGGTTGGGTTTTGTCGCTACGAGAAGAGCTGGCTCTCTTGCGATTGCCTTTTGGGGCTCTCGCTTGAAGGGGTGGAAGTTAATGATATATGCTTAAATCCAGGCAGCTATGTCGAGGGTTGCCTTGAAGACACAGAGGTGGCTGCGCTCCTGAGGGTGCATGACATATTCTACTCTTACGGTAGTGGAGCTGTCCATTCGTTGCAAGTTTTTTTTTTTCTTTTTTTTTTTCTTTTTTTTTTCTTTGTTTTTCTCTTTTTTTGAGGAAAACGCGCTCAGTGCCCAAGGCTTATATGTTGCAAGGTTTTGGAAACCACTACCGCCTTCATTTTCTTTTTTTCCTTTTTAGGACCTCTTTAGACCTCAATATAAAGAGGTCTAAAAAGGAGAAAACGGCTGCTAAAGGACTGCTATCTGAGTGCAGCAAAACCCGCCAAGGGAACTTTTTAGATCTCTTAATTTTGCGGGTTGCCGCAGATAGCAATCCCTTAGCAGCCTCTTTCTCCTTTTTAGTACCTCTTTAGACCTCAATATAAAGAGATCTAAAGAAAAAGGCTGCTAAGGGATTGCTATCTGACTGCATCAATCCGCCAGCAGTCTAAAGAGGTCTAAAACGCTGCTTAAGGAAGATGGCAGTTGTTGGTATAAAGTTAGACTGGACAGAATACACGATGGACTGCAGTGATGGTCGACCCTCTTTTTTTGTTGCGGGAGCTGTTATCACTTGCCTGCAATGTTTTCCAATCATTCATTAGATGGCCAATCTGCTGACGGCCGTCGTTATTACTTCCATCTATAATAACACTCACAGGCCCAGGTCCCCGCTGGCATAGGCTGCTTGCAAAAAGGCAAGCAATCTCAGATATGCCCTAGACCGACAAGCCCTGGATTTTACTGTAGAAAGCAGGCTGTCAAAGTGACGACCTTCGTCCTTCGGGGCATCCGTAAAAATTAAGGGAACGATACAAAGAAGATCAGCATAGCCACTACGCAAGGGTAACCCAAAAAAAAAGAAACATGTGACTATCAACTTCACATATAAACATGTCGAAAGGTTTGAAGTGCTACATGTCATCTCTTTTTTCTACTCGGGTGCAGCCGGTAGTAGCGCAAGGGCCCACCCGGTAACTATGTCCGTATCTGGACCGCAAGCTGCGTCAAATACAGTCGTAATAATGACCGGGCGTTCTATTCGGGTGAAGCCGGTAGTAGCGCAAGCGCCTCCTGAATGAAAAAAACTCGTGACACCAGTTCCTAAACACAAGCAGGCTTGCCCTGCTAAAGGATTGCTATCTGACTGCGGCAACCCGCAATATTAAGAGGTCTTTTGCTGCACTCAAATAGCGATCCTTCATCAGACTTTTTCTCCTTTTTAGATCCCTATTTAGACGTCAATGTTAAGAGGCCAGCCTTTTTCTCCTTGGAGGGTTGCTGCAGTCAGATAGCAATTCTTGCACTTGAGGCCCACAGGCGCAATCGTGCTTCATTCAGCAGACCAAATCTTTCTGCAGTCGGCAGACCAAGTTTTATACAATGTTTTTGAGTCTCCTGCCTAAATGCCTACTGCAGAGTTGCCATGGGCGGCAGTGGTGGTTTGAAAGTATGGACAGTAAATTGAAGAGGGGAAGGGAAAAAAAAACTTCGTTTTATACAATTCCAAATGTATCAAGCACTTCTGGACAGCAGTCGCAGGCACCAGATTTCCTGCCCAGCAAACGATGGAAATGGGTGTGTGCACCCACTTCCACCCTCTGGTCAATTCTCACAGGCGCGGACAAGGCCTGTCTTACAGCCATGTCGTGTGTTCGGCCCCATGTGCATGTGTAGACCCTCCAGATCCAGATCCATTGTATGGATCTAGACGTGTACACCCTCCAGATCCAGAACATCGATCTACACGTTTACAGCCCCTGAGCAACCTGGCTATATGCCCACCTAGCCCAGCTGTTACTGGTTATTTTGGGATGGACCTTCTTTCCCCGAATACAACGCGTACGGTCGTTATAGCTGTATTTAGACTGAAAGATACCCCAGATACAGCTGTGATTACAGTGCGTTGTATTCGGGGGAAGAAGGTAGCACAGTTGTTACTGGTTAGTTCTGGTTATGGTTGTTGGTCTGGTAGACCCCTCACCAGTAGGAGTGTATTGCCACCATCTGCACCCCTGTAGGGCCACCCTCGGCTCGCCTGCCTTGATCGTCTGGTAGACCCCTCTCCGGTTGGTTGTGGTTGTACTGCCCTTGCTGTGGTAGTTGTTGGTGGTTATCATCTGGAGGTACTCTACCCTCTTCGCCCGAATACGATGAATATGGTTGTTCTTGCTGTGTCTAGACTCAATTTTGCCCCACATACAGCTATAATGACCGTACAACATACGTTGTGTTCCGGTGCAGAGTCTGAAGACGGGCCTCTGTCATCAGTAGGTACATGGCCACCGTTCATCCCCACAACCAAGTCAGCAATTACTCCTCCAGTCATTCACAAGTTGTATCTTTCATCACGTGGAGCAGCTCTGGTCTAGTCATCAGCAGGTGTCCACTCCCATACGTCTGCGGTGACAATTGTTCACGTCTGCCATCAACTGGGCTCGCTCTGGTGCATTTCTCGTGGGAGGCAAACAATTCCTCCATGGCCACCATCCATCCCCACACAAAAGTCGCCAGTTAGACTCCTCGACTCGTTGAAGTTGTATCTGTCATCACCTGGAGCAGCTA